TTTTGTTCTAATTTTATGTCACGAGAATATTACTTTCCCTTTATATTTTTTTCTCTATATATGTAGGTAATTAAGTTTTACCTTTTGTAATGTGATATGTTAAATTTATCCGTTAAAATATTCATGACGAGAAATGTCAAGTTCTATTTTGGAGGTATAAAAAAAATGCAATGTTCATAAGATCGGAAACTTACATTGTGATGGTGATATGTTACAGTCTGACTCATAGAAGTCAATCACCGCCAAATAATTGTTGTTACTCTAAAAGGTTGTTCATGTTTTTGGGTGATTTGGATTATGTAAATTAATATATGTTATGTTATATTTTGTGCATTTCTGAATTCATGCCGAAACTTAGCTCTGTTAGTATTGATTTTAGATTGTAAACCTTTGACAGTATACTAAGATAGTCAATGTTATTAAAGTAATGTATATCTTTAGTTTATTTAATTTAGTATTTGTTATATGATCCTGTAGACACTATATCCTTTGATAAGCATGACTACGCTCATCAGTTACCTATGTGTCTGGGCCAGACACTATTGCAGGATGGCCGACTGTTAACTATCGTGTGACGCACCATTAATAAAAATGGTAAAGTCAATAATCATGTAACCTGAAACGGAACGTCAGTGGTCAGAGCCAAAGTAATCTATGTGACATTGACAGGTGGATGACGGATGATTGAACGTAAGCAGCGGGAGTTTTGGAGCGAAAAAGTTGAAGTGTATATATTATTATAAAAACAAATAAGAGATAGGTACTTACATAATTGTGAATATTGTAGGCATTGAGGTGTTTCTCTCCCTGACTAACAGGTATTACGCCTAAGTCGTCAGGATACTAGTGATTTTAAAAAACAATGTTCGAATGCAGAGGTAGCGCTTGAGTCGATTTGGTTGCTCGCGAATGTAGTTGGACTTTTTAATATTATGCTACGGCCTTAACGAGAACAATAAAATAAATGCTAAGTAAAAAAGAAGTACTAAAAAGCAGATAGGAACGTAGCCTGTTTTTCATTTATATTAAACTCGTTAGTGAAACCGCTGTAATAAGCTAATAGTACAATTCGCTTATCATAGCGATGTTGCTTAGAAAAAATTGATAGTAAATTATTTGTAACAAACTTAGTGCCTCTACTATCGATTGCAAAGACAGCATTTGTTATTGAGGTGAATTTTAAAGTGCATATACTTGTGTATCTAATATTAAACAAAACTAAGAACTCCACACGCCAAAATAAAATGGGGTATGATACATTCTTTCATATATTTTTACCTTGATTTTGGTAGGTGTAGCGTCAAGGTGGTTCCACCTTAATTTTATGGTATTCCAATCATCGGCATTCGAAGATATACAACGGAACTCCTTTAAGACAAACACCATAATGTTTAAGTTGAGTCATGACGATCATGTCATTACATTATACTTACATATATATGTATATATATATTTTTTATGAATGATAATGCAATATGGTGCACTCGCTTGCGCTACCGGTTCACGCTGGCGGGGCACTAGTGGAGGATAAAAAGATCACTATGAGGTCAGGTCAGTTAGCCTATACTAACAAATTCGTCTTGATGGTTTCCAGGGGAGACCGCGTGGAAGTCAACCTGACATGGTATATTGCTAGCAATAGGGCTACTATTCCCTTATTAAAAATCCCCAACCCTCCAGCACACGTGTTATGTACAATTTAATTTGTTCACAAATCAAATTTTACAAAATAAATTACATGAATATTAATAAAAAAATATATAAACAGGCGGAGAATTTCCGGTGGGTCCCTAGCGGGAAAGACCACACTACGCCACTGGCCCTACTATCCTCCACTGATGCCCCACGACCACCACCTCATATCTACCTACATGTCATTGTTTCATGTTTATACAGATTCATTAAACTGAACATTAAACATGTCCCTTAAAATTTCGAAAAAGAATATTGAGAAATTTGTATAAAAAAAAAGTAAATACCTACATCGTTATATTTAAGTAGTACTTAGTAATGACACAGAATTAACGTTTTTTATTGTTAATTCTATACAACACAACAGAAGTTCATCGTAAAATCGTCTACTGAAATATCATTATAGTTTACGATAAACTACTGCCATCTATTGTATGTTTTAGTATTCACATTGTACAGAATATACAAGAATCGTAGTCTCTAACGCTGCTTCTGAAAGTACTGATGTGTTAACTTTATTTAGTTTCGTTAATTGAACAGAGATGGCGCTGACTTTTGGTCGCCATATTTAAGCGATACTTTTAAGTGTTTATACTAGTATTTTTATTAGAAACTTGCTGTTACTCAACTCAAGTTTCTAATAAAAGTTTACAGTTTAGAGTAACTCAACTTTTTTAACAATAAAAAATGTCTCAACTCTCAAGTCATCTTTACAAATATGTAATATTATGTTATCAGTGGTATAAACTGAAGTCACTTCTTTTGCCTGGTTTATTTTGAAGGTAGGGCATCCCGATATACATCTCTAAAGAGTCATGTTCAAAAATGATTTTGACTATTCTAAAAAAATAATGCTTTATTATTATATTATATTATCTGTGATTACTATGGTCATACGGGCCTATTATCCTTATGTGGCCAGGGCCTCTAATAGTGAAAGACAGCCCTGGTTGAACTAAGTGTATAAAATATCTACCTACCTGTCTTCACATACCTACATAGGTACCCCGATTACATTTCCATGAATTGTCTACGTAGGTAAATCAGGTTCACATGAACTTGAACAATGATCTAATTCATTAAACACACAACGAGCGTAGGTAATGTCAGTTGACACGCTCATTCATCCAATGTAGAAAAGAGACAAATGTACTTTGCCGAAATCTTACAAGGTTTAACAAACGCAATTGCAACACCTACCTACTTTTTATAATGGATGCATGCAATCTCCGACGATAACGGTATAGACTAGCGGATTATCAGTGGGGAATAATAGGATGAGTATGAAATCAAGTCATGCTGTTACAATAATAATAATTTTAGGACAATTCACACAGCGCCACCTAGTCCTAAGTTAAGCTAGCTAAAGCTTGTGTTACGGGTACTAGATAACTGATACAAATACATAGATTTTTTTTTCCTAAATACATACATATTATACATAGAAAATACCCAGACCGATACAAACAATCATACTTATGAATACAAATGTTTGTGCCGTGCGAGGAATCGAACCCGCGACTATCGGACGTAAAGCGGCGTGCTAGACCGCTAGACCACGAAGGTCTGTAAGCTGTAAAGGCCGCAACGCAACTGGGCTTTACAGCTTCACCGGATGATAGGCGGCGAGCGCAGATGGTATTCCAAACCCGCGGAAGAACTTATGGAGTGACTGAAAGCCAACTCCATAAGGACGGTCCGCCTGATGGATACGACTTTAGTTTGGGGCACTGCTAGGGGTACGAACCTAGGCTCAGTCCGTCGTAATTTCGAACCCCGTTTGAATTGGACGTGGAATCGATCAGAGTGGGTGAAGTCAGTTTGTCAGTTAGACCTGTCAAGTATATAATGAAGCCAGTATTTCCTATTATTAAAACACAAACCTCCTTCTCAACGCATACGCACATAATAGTATGGTTTGCCATTTCGCAGACGAGTGTGGACTCAGATACAGATTGGGGGGATGGAGTTTGTTTATGTGGACAAATAGCCCCATGACTAGCAAAGTACCATGTCAGGTTTACCTCCACGCGGTTCTCCCTGAAATTCCTGGTGAATTAGTTACGATGAGCTTATGACCTGACCTCAAGATAATATTATCATCCTCCACTGGTGGCCCGCCAGCGTCAGCCGACAGCGCAGGCGGGCTATTCTATTAAAACCATTAAAAAATATATATTATAGCATTAAAAATATATTTATGTGCAGTTGTTTATATCAGGTCTTTAGAAATATATATGTAATTATTATTTTGCGGAAGTCAGTGGATTCAGCGTAATTTTGTTTCCGCTAACAAGTAACATGAGTACATGCCAATAGTAGCGGAATGAAATGTGTAGAATAATAATTAATAATATCCATAGTTACTGACTGTTTATGTAAACCCTCGCAGTATTAAAATAATATAATGAAAAACTATAAAAAATGTTTAGATAGATAAATAATATAATAAATATATCGGATTGCCCGCTCTATAGGCACTGGAGATCATTGCATCATTGCACTGCTGCGGTCCCAGTGCTTCTGGATGTGAACATAGACACATGTGAATTATAATAATAATGATATACATTGTAATTTATTAACATAGTTTATAAGTTGTTTACTAACAAGATATGGATGGATATCCGAAGTAAATTAATAAATAAAATACAAATGTTGAGAGTTTTCTATGAATCCGAACGGAATAGTGGCACTGAAACATAGTCTGTACAGTGTAGTGACACCTACCGCTTTCAGCATTCAGTAAAAAGTTGCGCTTACGTCACCGCATGCCTGGAGCGCGTGCGCCGTCCCTCCCTCGCGTTTCCCGCCATTATATTTACAGTAGTCTCGTGATGTTCGGACGTGAACTAGTTCGGAAGATCGCTCTCAATGAGGAACTACGCGAACTAATACGGAGAACCCTCATTAGGACGTTTTATAAAATACTGCGTGTATTATAAGTAAAGTAAAATGTTGATTTTGTGCAAACTGTATCTACCAATTTAAAGTATGTTTGTATGTATTTGGTAGAAAAAACATAACCATTCATAAATTACGTCACTCGTTAATATCGACAAAGTGTGATAATGTATAACAAAAAGTTGGAGAAGCACAAACATCCTATAAAAAATAGTCTCATATTTGAGAGCTAAAAAAAACGGGTGTTGAGACTTGATCTAACGAACTATAATAGTTTAGAGCTGCGAACTAAATTGTGTGTGAGTCATGAACTATTATGCGCGATACTAATTTACGGCGTTGGCGTCTCCGTCTCGCTTGGCTCGCGAATCGCCGCTGCTCGCCAGTCGCTCGGCCCGCAGGCCTCCGGTTAAGCCTCTCTTTAATTTACAACCCTAAACATGCCTCCCTTAAACCAAACCGAACTTCTCAGAGTTGGTTCATTAACCAACATCACGTAGACGGTTGACGGTCGCTTACGGAATAGTATTAAGGATTTTATAGATAGATTTTTTTCTTTATCTTTCGAAATGGTGTCACAGTCCCGCAGTGGACACGTGCTGGTTTGGGAGCAGCCGGGATTGGAAGACGAGGGACCAGGTGGCCGTTCTGGTGAGTTGATAGATTGAGAGACGATTCTGTGATTAATGACGTCAGTGGCGCGCAGGGTTCCAAAGCTTATCTCGTGATATGCTTTAGTTATCATATAGGTTAGTTATTATCAAAAAGCGTTAAATTAGTTTATATTACACTTTTTTGTTTTTTGATATTTTACGAGACAGCAGTATGTTCGCTATAACTTTGTTCCGTTGCACGGAAATATTAAAAGATTTAATATTATTTTTATCAAGTCCAATTGTTTGCAACTAATCATATAAATTTTTAGATTTCCGATCTTGATAGCTTCAAATTTTTCAAGCTTTTATTTTTACCCAGTATAATCAGTTATAATAAATGAATTTGAACCCTAATATCTATATTATAAAATTGATATTTGTGTAATTAGCATGTAACAGGATATTCAGTGAGCTGAAAATAATCCAGGCCATACCGACATCTAAAGCCGTAAACTTAAATTTAACTTTGGTAAATAAATTTTGCTTTAAATAATATTTACCTGAATTAAGAATCTTTTCTATTATATTTTTTATTAATATAAGTAACTGGAATTACTGTGTTTTATATTCATATTCAGAATAGACTTATGTTACATGTCTGTATATCTGTATAATGCGCGTTGCGGTTTCGGCGTTTTATAAATTTAAACCGTAGGTGTATACTATAAAGTTCATTTCGCTTTTAACCTCTAGAAATACAATTTTATAGCCTAAATTTTTGTTGTTGTTATAGGTATGAGCTGTTATTTAATTTTTAACTACTGATTTGTTTAAATAATTTATTTCATATTGATAAAACAATCAAACAGAGAATTTGTTTTGATTATCCATGAATCGAAAAAACTGAATTGAAGTAAATATTTATTTATTGTTTACAAATATGGTCGCTGTTTTGTTTTTATTTCGGCCAATTTACTGCGGAAACAGTAACTTGCAATTTTACATCGAAATAGGTTGAAACGAAAGCAATATACAGTCACATACTATATATAAAACTTGAACTAAATAATTATTACTGACTATTAATAAAATTTTTGCTGATCATGATACTTATGAAAATGCTGATTTGTATTTCGGTAAATAGAAACGTGTAAATTGATAGTCAGCAAATACGAGTATAAAATAAACCCACCTACCTACTAAAATTGTAAGTGTTAAAGTTTGTAAAGATGTTTCGATATTTGAAATTTTACATTTTTAATATATTATAGGCTCGCTTTTTATGCCAATATTTCGTTATTAACATAATAAAAGCTTGCAAAATATTAAACAGTTTTTAACACATTAAAAAAAATCACAATTAAAAAAATTCTATTGAAATAATTCTACTCGGAAATAATAATAGTTAGTAAAGTGAAAAGTTTTTAACAATATAATCAACATAAATAAATTCAAGCAAAACACAAACAGTCCTAATCATAAATCAAATGTTTGTATTGTACGGGGATCGAACTCGCGACCGACTGAAGGTGAGCTGAAATCGCTGCACTACCAAGATCGTCAAATAATAACAATTGTCATATTGGTTTTATGGTCTGAGGATCTTTGCCTGTTACATCATTAAAAAGTAAATGGACGAATATGAGGAAAAAACGATTTTATGGTTATTATGTTAGATTTATTTTTATAGCATAATTATAAAATAAACTTAATCTGGACTTTGCACCGAGTCGAAAATGAACGTAGGTATATTTTTGATTTTGTTTCATAAGTATTTGATTTGGTTTTGTTTTAGAAAGTGGTTTTGTAGACCTAATATTATAAAGAGAAATAAGAAAAGAAAAAAGTTATAATAGAATTATTACTGCATCCGTGAGAAAACGAACGACTTACTTTAGTGGGAGAGTCAATCAGAATATGTTGCAACACTGATGGATTATAAAGAAATGAATGTATTATAATATGCAAATATATCTGTCGCAGTGTTACTATAATTAACTGCACATTATATCCGATATTTTCAGGAAAACCCACTTGTACTACACAAGGTCATAACCACATGACAATGGTGTGACGCCAGTTATGTCATAGTGCTTGAACACGATCCAGTTTTTATTAGGGATGTGGATGTACTGTTTAAAAAAATCTATTATAACAAGGTTGTCTGTAAGAGATTGCTTTAAGCGATAAGACCGCCTTTTTTCAAGCCCATTTATGTTATGTTCTTATTGTTACTTACATTTTCACTGCGTAATATAGTTATATTTTTTTGGTACCTTAATAATTTATAGAATGGAAAATTCTTTATTCAAATAAACTTACATTGAAGCACTTTTAGTGATTGAATAGACTGAATAGAAATTACTTTTTTTTTAATCTACCGCTCATTCGGAAAGCTGTCTCATCACAAGAAGAACGAACGAGTGACTTTACATTGACAACTTTACATTTTTAATCAAATATAACAAAGAAATCGATTTTCACTTAATAATAGTTTAATTGATTATTTTTTCGCATATCACCTTTTATTTTTTAGATTATTTTAGATCAGATTATTCTTCAACAAGGTCGCATTCTTTTTTTTTATGAATGAAAATGTCTGCAAAAGATTAATTGATTTTTTTGTGAGTATTGGCTGTTTTTTTTTAATTCTATTTTCACATCCCTAATTTTTTGTCGAGATTTGTATATTCAGTTTGATACTTGATCCGTAACGAGCAATGGATGATGATGATATAATGTCAATCATTTCGCTTAATTGATATTTGATTAGGTACCGATCGACCATTTTTAATCTGTAATATTATATTTGACGGCCTCGGTGGTCTAACGGTTTAGCACACCACTTTACTTTCGATAGTCGCGGATTCGATTCCTCGCACGGTGCAAACATTTGTATTCACGAGTATGATTTTTTGTACCGGTCTATCTGTTTTTTATGTATATTATATATGTATTTACAAAAAAAAACAAGTATTTATATCAGTTGTCTAGTACCCATACCACACCGTAGGACTAGACTGCGTTGTGTTGATAGTCCAGGGTTATTTATTAATTTATTATATAGCTTAGAATTCATTTTAGAAGGTTTATATCTATATAATACATGTGTGTTACAGTATAGAACAAGCGAAGAAATTGAAAGATTTCTCAGTTTGCTCTATCGTTAGAATGCATCCGTGCAAACCCGGGCCGGGTCTCTATTTATAAATAAAATTGCGAAAAAGGTTAATTATTTTTGTTGGAGTATCCAACAGGTAATCTATATTCTTTCTTTGGCGTAATAGACATGAGGTAGACGTTGCGACCCACACTTGTTACACAATGTCTGCATGCGTACGTCACTGGCCGTATTCACGCACTGAACACGTGGTTTCAGTTTTGGCGCCATTTATAAATAGAGACGAAGTATTTTGACAGGTTCTTTTGTGTGTAAATGTAAACCTAAGTGATCTTCATTTGTAAGGGGATATTACATTATTAACTATTTAGTATCAAATCTCATGCGTTTGATAATAAAATTCTACAATACTTTATTATAAAGTTTTACAATACTTCGGAATAATATGTTTAAATCAACTTTGTTTCTGTGCTGAATTATTACTCAAAATTTTCAATTAAAAAAGATATAGGCTTAAGGCATTTTAATACTTCTTACCTTTAGTACGTAACATTTTCTTGAGTTAGTCTATGTTCAAAATCGTCAGCGTCTATGTCAGCCACTAAGCACTTTGTTTTGTAAGCTGTGTTTATATGGGTGTAAGTACATAATTTTCATCAAGGCATAATAGGGGTACTACGGGAGTAAAATAATGATTGTATGTTCACAGTGCTAGTCATAAATTATTATTGTCACTTACCATCAGGTGAGCAATTAACTTGTTTGCACTTCCAAATACATAAAAATTGTCTTTGATGGACTACGGACTGGAGTCCAGCGGATCAAACCGGGTTCACAATGATTTGCCCTTGACTTCCGTAATTATTTATTTAATTGCATATTATATAAAAATATCAATATCACAATTAGTTTCATAATTAGTGTAATTGATACTTCAATTGTATTTTATTGGTTGTCTTTTTATGTTGTTGTGTTATAATGTCCAAAGGTACTTTTTTTTATTAAAATAATAGCTGTCTAGATATATAGATTTCGTGGGCCCCCAGTTGACCCCACCTGGGATGTGTAGTGGCATTTCCTCAATAAACAATAATAGATATACCTACGTATATATTTTTTATTTTTACACGACTCAAAAGTATTTGTTTCAAACGAATGGAAATGTGAGTACCACAGATATAAACACCAAGTTATTAATTTATATGAAAATTAAGAGTTTTATTTTAAACAACTTGCTTTAATAGAAGCGCTATCAAAATTCCTCCTTCCTCTTAAATGTTCTAACCTCTAAATTTCTCAGACGTGAATGAAAGATAACATAATAAATAGGACGAAATCCAAAATTTACGTTTTAATTAATTGAGACTATAAATAGGAATTATAATTTAATTATTACTATTTGCCAAATTTATGCCAAAAAATGTCACGGGTGAACTTCGTGTTATAGTGACATGATTTATTTTCATATCTGTGGTGAATACTAACATCAAAAGTAGTTTATCTGTGTTGGTTTTTTTATAAAATTGTGCAAATACAGATGAAGCGATTATACATTTTAAGTAGGTAACTCATAATCAATTATTTTATGATTTTAAATATTTAATTAGATTTCTTTAAGTAAAATGTTTTCTTAACATTAAATATAATTCGTTACAGACCTATAAAATGCGTTACAATTTGCAAATAAAAAAAATGTTGAATGACGCATCGTATATAACTTTTTTATAATACTAATGACCCGTTTCTACTTCGTTTCTAAGTACCTACTACTAAAAAGTTATATCACAGTTATAAGTTTTGTCTATTTTAAAATAATCGTAGCCTAGGTTACCCTGGAATAATATATTGTTGGTAGGTACTATAGATAAAAAGATCTGTGGTTGGTTAATTTTTTTTTAAAACTTGCAAGTATTTTTTTTTTAATATAAAATGCG